TACGGCGTTCACGTTACGGGTTCCACTACTACGGACCTTTCAAAGTATGACCAAAAACTCGCTATACGGCTCCCCACCTGGACTTTCTCATACGGTCACCGTGCCCCACCTGTGTGTTTTACATTCTCCGTGAGTTCAGTAAAAGCACTAAAGCTACTCATTTTTGTCTGGAAACTCCAAAAGTTCATATGTTTTTAAAAAGTTATTTCATATTTTATATATACTCTGATATAATTATAATTATGTATACCTTACCTAATAAACTTAATACGGTGTGGCATGCAGGTACACTTAAAATTGGTAAGTGTTTATGTTCTCCCAGGACGTCATATTAGTAATGATATTAATAAATCATCGAGTCATTTAAATGCGTATATTAGTTAATATACACATTTTCATTTATCCATCCATGATATTTTTCAAATTATATAATAAACACGATGCATAACATATTAAATATGATAATACACCCCACAGTTAGAATAAATATACATAAATGTGAGATGTGGTAGCAGATGACTTGCTCAAGTGCGCCATATTAGAAAGATATAATATCATTTAAAATACCGAGTCTCATTAAATGTCGTATATTACGGTAATATACACATTTTCATTATCCATTCCATGATATTTTTTTCAAAATTTATATAATTAAACACGATATAACATTAAAAAGATGATAAATACACCCCCACAATAGAATAAATAAACATAATATAAGATGTGGGAGCCACATAACTTGTACTAGTGACGGCAAGAATAACAATTTCTCTAATTACATAAGAGAAATTGTGGTTACTGGGGGTAACTGTAGAAAAATTATTCCTTTCGGATGTATGTAAGTAAGTTTATTCAGGTATACACAAATCAGTTACATTGATTATCTACATTAAACAATATAACGTGTAGAGAACTTGGATAACAAAAAAAGTCAGTGGACGTATTTCCATTGCCTTCACTCAGAGCTTCATTTCTTCTCAAAATGATGGTTACATGAGAAAGGGAGTGTTCTTCTTTATTAATTCTACGTATCAATGTAGAGGACAACCTGTACCATCAATGTAACTTGAACACAAACCAGACGGTGTACACTTCGTTTGTTTACAATCTTACGGGGGTCGCCTGGTTTGTTTACATATACTAGGGCGCCTGTCCCCTCTCATGTACTCATTCTTTCTCTCTCTCATTTATTCGTTTTTTCTCATTTACTTACTCTGACCTACATAAGACTACTATTATTTTAAGGTAAGTAATGAGTGCACTGTATATAAATTTTATCGCTCTGGGATGCTTACAATATCATAGAAATGGATGTGTGGTGGGGTTGGCCTGGTAAGGTAGCCTGGCTATTACCATACATTACCACACTTGATTTCTTCAATAATTTACTTAATTGTCTCACCCTAGTTTAAGACTATTAATATTTTAAGGTTAAGTAATGAGTGCACTATGTGTGTATTGTACTTTTTTATTGTTTTTTGATGCCTGGTTCTATTGCTAACTTAATATATGTTAGTGTAATCTTGTTATCTAGTGGTTTGTATGATTTATAAGTGGAAATAAGGGTGTTCCACTTTTACGGGGTTTCCGCTTTACGGCGGTAGCCTGGAACCTAACCTGCCGTATAAGTGGGGCCCTCCTGTATATGGATAGGTAGTAGGTTACTAAATGCTATAAAGAGTTTTTATGAGGATAGTGAGGCTCAGGTTAGGGTGTGTAGGAGAGAGGGGAAGGGGGAAAATTACTTCTCGGTAAAGTAGGTCTTTGGGATGTGTAATGCCACCATAGTTGTTTAACCTATTTATAGATGGGGTTGTAAAAGAAGTAAATGCTAGGGTGTTGGAGAGAGGGATAGGATTAAATTATGGGAATCAAATACAAATGGAAGTTGTTGCAGTTACTTTTTCTGATGATACTGTGCATTTGGGGAGAGACTCTAAAGCAAAGTTGCAAAGTTAGTGGAATGTTTGGGAGGGTGTGTAAAGGTAGTTATTTGAAATTGAACATAGAAAAGGAGTAAGGTGATGGCAAAAAAAAAAACAAACACAAAAAATAAAAAAAAAAAAAAAAAAAGGTGATGAGGGTTTTCCAATTGCTTTTAGATAAAGAAAAAATTGGTATCAATTGGAGAGGGAAGGTAATGGAAGAAGTGAATGTTTTTCAGATATTTGGGAGTTGATGTGTCAGTGGATGGGTTTATGTATGATGAGGTAAACTATAGAACTGTTGAAGGAAAAAAGGTGAGTGGTGCATGGGTATCTGCGGAGACAAGGAACGTTACCTATGGAGGTGTAGAAGGGAATGTACCAAATATTGTGGTACCAACACTCTTATATGGGTGTGAGATTGGGTTGCGAAATGCTGCGTGAGGAGGCAGCTGGAAGGCAGTGGAGAGTCCTGTTTAAGGCATTGTGTGAGCAAATATTTTGCAGAGAATTCAGAAGTGTGGAAATTAGGTGGTTTTGGACGGTACTAAAAGTATTAGTCAGAGGCTGAAGGAAGAGGGTGTTGAGGCGGTTTTGGTCATTCAGAGAGAATGGATCAAAGTAGAATTGGACTTGGAGAGCATATAAATCTGTAGGGGAAGAAAGGCAGGGTAGGGTGTTGTCCTAGTAAAGGTTGGAGGAAGGGGGTTAAGGGTGGTTTTGTGGTCGAGGGAGTTTCGAATTACAGTATGCGTGTTTGATTGGAGTGATTGGTGTCGAAAAATGGTTTTTGGGACCTGAGCTGTTGGAGTGTGAGCAGGGTAATATTTGAGTGAAGGGATTCAGGGGAAACCAGTTATTTTTATATAGCCGGACTTTAAGTATGGAAAATGGGAAGTTACAATGCCTGCACTTTAGAGGATGGGTTTGGGATACTGGCAGTTTGGAGGGGTAAGTTATATATCTTTATATATGCTTCTTATTCTGTTGTTCTGGGAACCCTCTGTAAGACAGTGAGTATGTGTGAGGTTGAAGAAAGTGTTGAATGATGAAAGTATTTGTTATTGGGGATTTTCTTTTTTTGGGTCACCCTGCCCTCGGTGGGAGACGGCCAACTTGTTGAAAAAAAAAAAATAAATAATTAGGTTTTGAATTTATTGTCCTAGAATGCATCTCTGATTTGGTCACAGGATTCTGAACACCTGAGTTACTGTTCAAGGTTGCATTGTGTCCATTTGTCTGGTATCCCTTGCACTGCACTGTATTTGGAATACTCACATGTGTGATAAATTGACCACATGTGCAACTCTTGGGTATCTTTATTGAGGAACGTTTCGCCACACAGTGGCTTCATCAGTCCATACAAAGAGAATGCTTGAAGAACAGGAGGAGACTGAGGTTAATCAGTCCTCAAACTTGTGTCGATGTGGTCAGTCCATCAATCTTGATGGACTGTACCACATCGATCAAGGTTTGAGGGACTGATTACCTCATTCTCCTCCTGTTCTCAAGATTCTCCTTTGGTATGCGACAGATTGAGGAAGCCACTGTGTGGCTGAAACATTTCCTAAATAAAGATACCAAAAGGAGTTGCACATATGTGTCTAATTTATCAACATGTCGGTTCTCTGAACCATTCATCTACAAATCTCACATGTGGTGAGCCCACTTATGCATTGCTAGGTCTGTGCTTTCAAGGTTTTTAACACATCTGCCAAATCCTACAGAACGTCTCCTATACACATCACAGCTTTTCTTGCAGAAGTGCTTGGATTTTGCACATAAATGGCTCTTTAAACTGCAAGTTTAACAGTCAAGAGTGCCACTGATGGCCCCTATAGGAGTGCTACTTACACAAAAACCCACACATAAAAGAGAGGGCTTACGTTGTTGTTTCAGTCCGACTTGGACCATTTACAAAGTCACACTAACAAAGGGTGAGAAGGAGGGAGTAACCTACCATCTGACTTACGACCTGCTCGACATACGATCATTTGACTTTCGACCGTTGTTTTGATGCAAATTTCTTGGGTAATAAAAAATGTTTGTATTGTACACATTGTTTATCCTAAACCTTAAAGTAATAAATACAGTACTAAGGCATAAAAAGTAATGTAAAAAATGATATACCAAAGTAAAACTATAAAATAAAGTCATACAAAAAATGTGATGTTGATATTCAGTAGTAAGGTTCGACTTACGTCCATTTCGACTTATGACCGGTTGGTTGGAACCGAACTCAGTCGTAAGTCAGATGGTACCTGTATGTATATGTAGCCCAGCAGACAGGGACAGGACAAGAGAGGTAGTGGTGGAGGTAGTAGTAGTAATGGAGTTAGTCAAATACTAAGAAAGAGGAGCACTGCATAGGAGCTAGGGCCCCACAGAGGGTAGGAGCAAGAACACCAAGGGATGAAAAATAATAAAGGACAAATACCCAAGACAGCAGAAAGAAAACCCAGAGGAGGAGGAGGAGGAGAGAGGAAAGGGAGGGAGGGAGAAGGGGAAAAAAGAATAAGGTTAAGTTACAGGTGTTCTGAAGCTCCCTTGCAGTACTTGTCTTTCTTAGTGTATTTGACTGATTCCACTACTACTACTACTACCCACCTCCACCACTACCTCTCTTGTCCTGTCCCTGTCTGCTGGCCTATATATACTCCCTCCTTCTCTCCCTTTTGTTAGTGTGACTTTGTAAATGGTCCGAGTTAGACTGAAACGTGGTCGTAAGCTCCTCTCTTCTATGTGCGGGTTATTTGTGTATTGTTCCAGTCACGGTATTGTGCCTTTTTTGTTATTTGTGCTACAATAAGCAACAATTGCTGGTGTGAACTGTGGTGTCTACAGACAAAAATATGAAAATGAAGCAGTTATTAGCACTATGGCAAGTAGTGGTGTGACAGCAGCAACTGTCAGCTTATCAATGCTGGCCTTGACCTTTGAGACCAAGCTAGCAGAAAACAGATATGACTCATTTTGTTTAGAATAAGCATAGCACACATCACTATATCCAGTTTTACATAGTATGTTTGGGGCTACTGATATGTACAAATTAATTTGAATATAACTGTTGATTACCTGTGCTTAAGAGTAACCTGCTTCTCAAGTTCCTTCTGTGTAATTTTAGCTTCTGGCAGAGGTTGGTTAGAAGTACACTGGACTTTTTCCTCAATGGTGTTCAACCAAACAGAAAAGTCATCAATGGTTTTCTGTAGAGTCCTCCAAGTTTCAGAGCACTGCAACCAGCGAGAATGTTTGTCAGTATACCCACGGTTTACCTGAAAATGAGAAGCATTACAATAATCATCAATAACCATCAACTAAGTACAATATTTTGAATTCTTTAGGATTCATCTTTATAACTTTTAACCCTTTGACTGTCGCAGGCCCCTTTCTAAAACTGTCATTCTATGTCGAAAAATTTTTGGAAAAAAAACAAAAAAATCATTTTTTTTCTTATAAAATTATAGAGAATCTTTTCCCAATGGTAATGACACCAAAAGTACGAAATTTGGTCGAAAACTCACAGAATTACACTCCCGCGAAGTTAGCGGTCTCGGCGACGCACACGCATCGGTGATTTCACTGACTTGGAGCCTTATTTTGGCCAATTCCACTGTTCCAGTTGACTAAACTCATAGCTATTTCTTTAGAACTCCATTTTTTCTATCAATTGAGTACAAGAAACCACCCATTTACCGATTTGAACTACACAATAAAGTGGTCAGAAATTGGCAATTTGGCCAATTTGATGCAAATTAAAAATGATGCCAATTTCAAAATAGGGGCCAGAATAAACAATGTAGACATTCTTGGCACTAAAATAACATATCCTCTGTTCATTGGTCATGTCTCTAGGCCCCTCTTATATTACTATTGCTTTCTATTTTGATCTTTTATTCATACAAAAAATAGAAGATTTACTGTTATGCAGACTACTGCATTATTGTAAAAATGGTATAAATAATATCAGCGCACTAGTGAAAGAAAATCAGACTCCCCAGTTGATGTGTATTGGATGTGTGGTGTGATTTGCTTACTCTTGAACATTGGTAAAAATTGAACATTTCCACTACGTTGAGCTCAATTTCAAGGTCATTTTCATCATGAAACTAATCAAAATCATCTCTATTTCTGTAATATGTTTTCCATTGTATCACATGAAACCATGAAAACGAGAATACAACCATAAATACTATATGAAAATACACCTCAAAGTTGGCGCTTTAATCCAAAAAAATTGTCGGAGTTTTTTTTTTTCTCATTATGCACTGCATGCTGCAGGATTTTTTTTATATGGTACACACTGACCACACAGACTCATTCTCTCACATGTGGGCCTACCAGCTTTCTCCTGCTTGATTTGAAGCCGCTAGATTTTTTTTTTTTTCAACAAGTCGGCCGTCTCCCACCGAGGCAGGGTGACCCAAAGAGAAAGAAAATCTCAAAAAAAGAAAATACTTTCATCATCATTCAACACTGTCACCTCACTCACACATAATCACTGTTTTTGCAGAGGTTCCCAGAATACAACAGTTTAGAAGTATATACGTATAAAAATACACAATACAGTGGACCCTCAACCAGCGATATTAATCCGTTCCTGAGAGCTCATCGTTAATCGAAATAATCGTTAGTCAAGTTAATCTTCCCCATAAGAAATAATGGAAATCAAATTAATCCATGCAAGACACCCCAAAGTATTGAAAAAAAAAAAATTTACCACATGACAATATTAATTTTAAATACACACAAACTGAAGAGACATGCACAGTTACATGACACTTACCTTTATTGAAGATCTGGTGATGACTGATGGGATGGGAGGAGGGGAGACTGTTGATCTTCTTAGTGTTTAGAAGGGGAATCCCCTTCCATTAGCACTTGAGGTAGCAAGTCTTTTTCTGGGTTTACTTCCCTTGTTCTTTTAAATGCCACTAAGACCAGCTTCAGAGTCACTGGACTTCTGTCGCACAACATATCTGTCCATAGATACCTGTACCTCTCATTCCTTTATGACTTTCCTAAAGTGGTTCACAACATGTCAGTGTACAGGCTGCCAACACGGCTTGCAGTAGCTGTGTCAGGTGATTTTCATCAAAAAAGGTTTGCACTTCAAGCCACTTTGCACACATTTCCTTAATCTTAGAAGTAGGCAATTTCTTCAATTTCTCTATCCCCTCCTCCGAAGCAGTTTCCTCAGGTCTGCCCTCTTGCTGTTCAAGATGATCTAGCAGCTCCTCAGTGTTAGTTCTTCATTGTCCTCCTCCACCAGCTCTCCACATCCTCCCACACTAACCTCCAACCCCAAGGACTTCCCCAATGCCACAATGGATTCCTCAACTGGCATAGGATTCTCAGGGTTAGCCTCAAACCCTTCACAATCTCTTTTGTCTACCATTCTGGCCACAGTTTTTTTTCAAGCAGAGTTCAAGGTCCTCTTAGTCACTTCCTCCCAAGCCTTACCTATAATGTTTACACAATTGAGGATGGTAAAATTATCTTTCCAAAACTCTTAGAGTCAGTTGAGTTTCTGAGTCACTACAAAGCACCTTTCAAACAAGCTTTTGTGTACAGTTTCTTGAAGTTGGAAATAACCTGCTGGTCCATGGCTGCAGGAGAGGAGTGGTATTAGGAGGCAAAAACTTCACCTTAATGAAGCTCATGTCCCTAGAAAGTCGCTCTGCCAAGTCTGAAGGATGACCAGAGCATTGTCTAATACCAGGAGGCACTTAAGGTCTAATTTCTTTTCAATTAGGTAATTTTTCACATGGGGGCAAATGCATGGTGTAACCAGTCATAGAAAAAGTCCCTAGTGACCCCATGCCTTACTGTTTGCCCTCCACAGCACACACAAATTAGCCTTGACGACATTGTTTTTCCTGAACACTCTGGAGTTTCAGAGTGATACACCAATAAAGGCTTTACTTTGCAATCACCACTACATTGGCACACATCAACATAGTAAGCCTGTCTTTCATAGGCTTATGTCCTGGGAGTGCCTTTTCCTCCCGAGTAATGTAGGTCCTGCTTGGCATTTCTTCCAAAACAGGCCTGTTTCGTCACAATTAAACACTTGTTCAGTTTCAGTCCTTCACTGTCTATGTACTCCTTGAATTCCTGCACATATTTTTCAGCCGCTTTGTGGTCCGAACTGGCAGCCCTCACCATGCCTTATCACACTATGAATGCCACTACGCTTCTTAAATCTCTCAAACCAACCTTTGCTGGCCTTAAATTCACTCACATCACTAGTTCTGCGCATTTTTTTAATTAAATCGTCATGCAACTTCCTAGCCTTTTCACATATGATCGCTTGAGAGATGCTATCTCCTGCTATCTGTTTCTCGTTTATCCACACCAATAAGATTCTCTCAACATCTTCTACCGCTTGCGATCTCAGTTTCGAAAACATAGTTGCACCTTTGGCAAGAACAGCTTCCTTGATTGCCGTTTTCTTGCCCACAATAGCAGCGATGGTTGATTGGGGTTTATTATACAACCTGACCAGCTCAGAGACACGCACTCCACTTTCATACTTAGCAATGATCTCTTTCTTCATCTCCATAGTAATTCTCACCCTTTTCCTGTAGGGTTGGCACTAGAAGCTTTCTTGGGGCCCATGGTGACTTAATTTGCAGGTGCAATCACTACAAAGGCTGTGATAATATGAAATGTTCCAGTTGTATGTTTGGAAGCAACCGTGGTGGCTGGCTTGTAAACACTGGCACCCATGGGACAAGTGAGGCGCGCTCAGGCCAAAGTGGACACGTCTCGTACGAAACGAATAGCGCTGGTCGGGTTTTTAAGCGCTAGTCGAGTCAAAATTTTTGCGTTAAAATGAATCACTAGTCAGATTTATCGTTAATCGATGCCATCGCTGGTTGAGGGTCCACTGTATATCTCTCCAAACTGCCTAGAATTACTGAGTATATATATACGCCCGAAACACTGGCTCATAAGACATGTATATACGACCAAAACGGTCAAAATGTTAAACAAAGAAAACTACATTAAACTGCTGTACATTTTCATTTTAAGTCATACATATCATAAAAGTGACCAAAACATATGAAGTAGGGGACTAGTAACCCTTTCTTCTCCATTCAATTACTAAAAATTAAAGAAGAAAATTTTGCACCTTAGATGTTTGAATGTGCATGGGTGTTGTACAGATAAAAAAAAACTTGACTGTTAATGTTACGAATAAAAAGAAGCTGGATGCCCTACCACTAAGTGCAATAAAGCTAAAAAGGTTGGAAAATTTCAGTGGAGATGGGTAAATGGGACTTGGTCAGGTGCATCTGAATCAGAGCTAAGGGTGGTAGCTAAGGGTGGTAAAGGAGAAAAAATTATTATATGATGGGATTTTGCAATGTAAAAATGATAGACTGATGGCAGAATATATGCAGAGGAAGAGAGAGGTTAAAAGAGTGGCGAGGGAATGCAAAAAAGAGAGCCACTGAAAGAATGGGTGAGGCTTTAACAGGAATAATAATTTTTTTGAAAAGTGAAATAAGATGAGGAAGTCTGGAGAGCAGACATAGCAGTTAAAATGGAAGAGAGAGGATGTTAGATAGGGAAGTGAAGGTTCTCAAAATATGGAGAGGATATTCTGATGTGTTGCTGAATGATAGTAATGAAGCAGAAGCAAAGATTTCATGCATGGAACAAGAAGGGATAATATCGTATGGAAGAGAGGAGCCTGGGGTGGATGTGGGGAAAGTGGGTGAGGTAGTGGGTAGACTGAGGGGGGTAAAGCAGCACTGATAGACATGATTAAGACAAAAATTACTTTCTTTAAGGTGCTGTACACCTAATCCTATTATTACGGTACATTATATATACTATCTAACATAGCACAATTTTACAAGAAGCCCTGATTTCAGGAACATAACTGCTGCATTATGTGAGGTCTTACTGTTTTTATAGATGGAGCTGTAAAAGAAAATGCTAGGGTGATAGGGAAGGGTGTGAAATTAAAAATATATTGGATCTGATGCAAAGTGAGAGTTGTCAAATTTGATCAATACCAATGACACAGTTCTTCTGAGATTCTGAAGATAAGGTGCAAAGGTTAATGATGAAATCTGGAAGGGTATGTAAAAGGAAATTAAGTGAACAACAAAAAGAGCAAAGTAATGAGGTTAACAAAAACCTAGACAATGGCAGATTAAATAACAGATTGGAGGAAGGGAGTATGGAGGAAGTGGATGTATTTGTATATTTAGGGGTTGACATGCCTAACACTCAAAAGCTTCCTTTATCCCTTCCTTCCAGCTGTTCCTGGGACTATCCCCTCCCCCCAGAGATATGCATGCTCTTATTTGTTTTGTTGAAAAAATAGCAAATTTTTGTAATGAGACATATTCTGAACAAGTGAAATGTTAGAAAACAAAAAAAAAGACACAATACATGAAGAGCTAAAAGAAAAAAAATTGAATAAAGATGAAAGTTTAGCTGTAATAAAAGGCATATTAATGATTACTCACTGATAATATTGGAAAGAACATAATAAACTATATTATTATATATATATATATTATAATATATATATATATATATATTTTTTTTTTTTTCAACAAGTCGGTCGTCTCCCACCGAGGCAGGGTGACCCAAAAAAGAAAGAAAATACTTTCATCAATCAACACTTTCACCACACTCACACATTATCACTGCTTTTGCAGAGGTGCCCAGAATACAACAGTTTAGAAGCATATACGTATAAAGATACACAACATATCCCTCCAAACTGCCAATATCCCAAACCACTCCTTTAAAGTGCATTTCCAGGACTCAAGTCCGACTATATGAAAATAACCGGTTTCCCTGAATCCCTTCACTAAATATTACCCTGCTCACACTCCAACAGATCAACAGATCAGCAATATATTACTACCATTACAAACCAGTATATTACCTGAGCCCATTCTTCTCTGAGTTTGTCCATAACACGGCGCACTTGCTCTGATTCCGTGGGGCTGACATTTTTTACTATGGCATTCCTCTCAGTTTCAAGATTATCCACCCGTGGCTTTAGTGTCTCCAGGCCATGCTTAATACCCTGGTGAAAGAAGTAAAAAATTTTTTTTTTTTTTTTTTTTAACAGACTGCCTCCCACTGAGAAGAATTTTTTTTTTTTTAACAAGTCAGTCATCTCCCACCGAGGCAGGGTGACCCAAAAAGAAAGAAAATCCCCAAAAAGAAAATACCCTGCCTCGGCAGGAGACGGCCGACTTGTTGAAAATAAATAAATAAATAAATAAATAAATAAATAAATAAATATATATATACATATTTTTTTTTTCTACAAGTCGGCCGTCTCCCACCGAGGCAGGGTGACTCAAAAAAGAAAGAAAATCCCCAAAAAGAAAATACTTTCATCATCATTCAACACTTTCACCACACTCACACATTATCACTTGTTGCAGAGGTGCTCAGAACACAACAGTTTAGAAGCATATAAAGATACACAACATATCCCTCCAAACTGCTAATATCCCAAAACCCCTTCTTTAGAGTGCAGGCACTGTACTTCCCATTTCCAGGACTCAAGTCCAGCTATATAAAAATAACCGGTTTTCTTGAATCCCTTCACTAAATATTACCCTGCTCACACTCCAACAGTTCATCAGGTCCCAAATACCATTCGTCTCCATTCACTCCTATCGAACACGCTCATGCACGCCTGCTGGAAGTCCAAGCCCCTCGCCCTCAAAACCTCCCTTACCCCTTCCTTCCAACCTTTTCGAGGACGACCCCTACCCCGCCTTCCTACTACAGATTTAAATGCTCTCCACGTCATTCTACTTTGATCCATTCTCTCTAAACGACCTAACCACCTCAACAACCCCTCTTCAGCCCTCTGATTAATACTTTTATTAACTCCTTCACCTTCTCCGAATTTTCTGCGTAATATTTACACCACACACTGCCCTTAGACAGGACATCTCCACTGCCTCCAACCGCCTCCTCGCTGCTGCATTCACAACCCAAGCTTCACACCCATATAAGAGTGTTGGTACTACTATACTTTCATACATTCCCTTCTTTGCCTCCATAGATAACGTTTTTCGACTCCACATATACCTCAACGCACCACTCACCTTTTTTCCTTCATCAATTCTATGATTAACCTCATCCTTCATAAATCCATCCGCCAACACGTCAACTCCCAAGTATCTGAAAACATTCACTTCTTCCATACTCCTCCCCAATTTGATATCCAATTTTTCTTTATCTAAATCATTTGATACCCTCATCACCTTACTCTTTTCTGTGTTCACTTTTAACTTTCTACCTTTACACACATTCCCAAACTCATCCACTAACCTTTGCAATTTTTCTTTAGAATCTTCTATAAGTACAGTATCATCAGCAAAAAGTAACTGTGTCAATTCCCATTTTGTATTTGAGTCCCCATAATTTAATCTCACCCCTCTCCCGAACACCCTAGCATTTACTTCTTTTACAACCCCATCTATAAATATATTAAACAACCATGGTGACATTACACATCCCTGTCTAAGACCTACTTTAACGGGGAAGTAGTCTCCCTCTCTTCTACACACCCTAACCTGAGCCTCACTATCCTCATAAAAACTCTTTACAGCATTTAGTAACTTACCACCTATTCCATATACTTGCAACATCTGCCACATTGCTCCCCTATCCTCTCTATCATATGCCTTTTCTAAATCCATAAATGCAATAAAAACTTCCCTACCTTTATCTAAATACTGTTCACATATATGCTTCAATGTAAACACTAGATCTACATCCCCACCCACTCTAAAAACCTCCTTGTCATCCGCAATCTACTTTTTGTCTTACCTCTAATTCTTTCAATAAAAACCCACCGTTGTTTTTCCCGGGTATATCAAAAAACTTTTTCCCTTAATTTTTAAAACTCTTTTTCCCCCCTTTCCCCCTTTAATAAAGGGACTATCATGCTCTCCGCCAACCCCTTTGGTACCTTCCCCTTTCTACATTTATTAAAAATAGTCCCAAACCACTCCAACACTACATCCCCCCCGTTTTTAAAACTTTTCTGTCAGACCCATCATTTTCCACTGCTTTAACCCCCTTTTCATTCTATAATCCTCACGTACCTCCCCCACACTTACATTCTGCTCTTCTTCACTCCTAAAAGATAGTATCCTCCTGCCAGTGCTGAAATTACCGCCTCCCTTCCTCAACAGTAAAAGTTCCTAAAAATATTCTCCCCATCTCAATCCCTCCCTCTCCCCATCTACAACCCCCCTCTGTTTTTAACTGACAAATCCATACGTTCCCTGGTTTCTTAACTTTTTTTAAAACCCTCCCAAAATTTTTTCTTTTTTTCGTTAAAATTTCTTGACGTGCCTCTCCCCTTTTTACGTTTCCCCTTTTGCACTTCTCACCCTCTTCCCCTTTCTTTTACTCCCCATATACTCTGCTCTTTTTAAAAACATTTTGCTTTGAAAAAACCTCTCAAAACAACTTTTTCCTTTTATAAACCCTTTACTTCATAATTCCAAAATCACTCCTCTTTCCCCTCCCCCCACCCTCCTAAAAACCCAAACTTCTGCCCCACTTCTAATCTGCATTTTTAAAACTCATCCAACCTTCTTCAACCCCCCCACTACTCACTTTGCACTAGCCCACCTTTCTGCCAATATCGCTATATCTCACCCCCGAACTTCCTCCTCCCTTATTTATACACTTTCACTTCCCTCCACTTGTTTTGCCACCTTCCTCTTTCCCATCTACCCTTACCAAACTGTACTACAACTAAAAAAAGATCCAATATTAGTTCCCCTCTATAAAGTACATCCTGGGCCACCCTTTAAACCTTTCATCCCCCAATCAATCTAACAAAATCTTTTTATTACTGCTACATCATACCTTTTAAACTTATTTTTCCTCTTTTTTATAAAAAATTTTACTTATTCCAAATCTCTTTCTACCATAGCTCAATTTAAGGGTCCCCCCTCTACTTTACCCCTGGCCCCCCCAAATTTACCACTCTCCCTCCACAACATTTTTTTCCACTTTAGCATTTAAATCCCCAACCACAAGTATCTCACACTTGGTTCAAAACTCCCCTGCATTCCCTCAACATTTTCCCAAAATCTCTCTCTCTCCTTACACTTCTCTCTTCTCCAGGGGATATACACTTACTATAACCCTTTTCACATCCAACCTTTTATTTTTCTCCAAAAATCCCTTTAATTAAAATTTATAGTCCCTTTTTCCTGCCATTCTTTCCTTCAACATTATTGACCCTTCTTTAACTCTAACTCTATTTGAAAAAACCCCGACCAATCCCATTTATTCCTCCACTGAAAATCCCCCACCCCCTTCACTTTGTTTCACTTAAAGGGCCAGGCTCCAGCTTTTTCATTCGTATTCCCCACTCATCTCATTCTTATCATTTTTTACAACATCCACGCACATTCAGACTTCCCACTTTTTTACAATTTTTTTCTTTTTTCTTTTTTTGTAATCTTTTTCAGGAAAAAGGGGGGTTTCTAGCCCATTTTCCTGCATTTTAGTTTACTTTTAACCCCATGGCTTATGGAAGAAAGATTCTTATTTCACTTCCCCCTGGAATAAAAGGAAAAGAATAAAAAACCAAAAACTATTAAGTAAAATCAAAGAAAACTCAGATGAGTGTTATAAATAAATGTGTAATGTAATGTAGTGTACCTAATGTAAGTAGAATAGCAAGAAACCTGTAACTTGCCCTATTTATAATAGAAAAAAAAAAAAACAGCAACCTACCACAGTAAAACAATTACAGGCTCTTTTTTTATTTCACTTGGCAGGCGGTAGGCCCCCCTGGGGGGTTTCTGTCTACCAACCCACTACCTATATATATATAATTATTTTTTTTCAACAAACTGGCAGTATCCCATCAAGGCAGGGTGACCCAAAAAAGAAAGAAAAGCTCCAAAAAGAAAATACTTTCATCATCATTCAACACTTTCACCTCACTCACACATAATCACTGTTTTTGCAAAGGTGCTCAGAACACAACAGCTTAGAAGCATATACCTATAAAGATACACAACATATCCCTCCAAACTGCTAATATCCCAAACCCCTCCTTTAGTGTAGGAATTGTACTTCCCATTTCCAGGTTGGTAGACAGCAACCACCCAGGGAGGTACTACCGTCCTGCCAAGTGAGTGTAAAACGAAAGCCTGTAATTGTTTTACATGATGGTAGGACTGTTGTTGTCTTTTGCCTGTCTCATAAACATGCAAGATTTCAGGTATGTCTTGCTACTTCTACTTACACTTAGGTCACACTACACATACATGTACAAGCATATATTATTATAAACACCCCTTTGGGTTTTCTTCTATTTTCTTTCTAGTTCTTGTTCTTGTTTATTTCCTCTTACTTCCATGGGGAAGTGGAACAGAATTCTTCCTCTTTAAGCCATGCGTGTTGTAAGAGGTGACTAAAATGCCGGGAGCAAGGGGCTAGTAACCCCTTCTCCTGTATATATTACTAAATGCAAAAGGAGAAACTTTCATTTTTCCTTTTTGGGCCACCCTGCCTCAGTGGGATACGGCCGGTTTGTTGAAAAAAAAAAAAAATACATGCAAGTGTAATGTGACCTAAGAGTAAGCAGAAGTAACAAGATGTACCTGCTATCTTGCATATTTATGAGACAGAAAGAAAAGACACCAGCAATCCTGCCATTGTGTCAAACAATACAGATTTCTCTTTCACATATTATTAATCAATAAATTCTCGCATTTTTTCAAATCATATATATTTGGTGAATGAATGTGCATGCCATAAAATTAAATAAGAGAAGTTACTCTCTAAATACCTTCAATTCATCCTCTTGGGTCTTGAGATTATCATACTGGTTACTAAAAAACTTGGTAGCATTGAGCTGGCGAGAGATCACAGATATAGCTTCTCTCAGACGGTTGACACTTGCCACAAAATCTGGCACAATGATAGGCTCTGTTTCCTGCTGCAAAAAAAACTCATATCAAAAGCTTAGTACATGCTTATTATAAATAATATCCTCCACACTGTCAACATACAGAAATAAATGTACATATGTGCAAATGTAATAAAAGCCCCAAAAACAAAAAATGCAAATAAGCATAAAAAAAAATCCTAAAAATTTACTAATCTACTCTTTAAGGCATGACTCACGAAATCGTAATAACACGATTGCAAACAAACCATACCCCGGCTGGGATTGAACCCGCGGTCATTGAGTCTCAAAACTCCAGCCCGTCGCGTTAGCCACTACACCAGCTAGCCACAATAAGATTCGTCCAACTAGGTGTAGAAATATACCTAGTTGGACGAATCTTATTGTGGCTAGCTGGTCTAGTGGCTAACGCGACGGGCTGGAGTTTTGAGACTCTATGACCGCGGGTTCAATCCCGGCCGGGGTATGGTTTGTTTACTCTTCAAGGCATTTTGAGTTTTTGTCATCCAGTTTTTCCTATAAGATTCAGATGCTGACTCTTACACTATAACCTAGATCTTATGTTGGAATTTATTCGATGAAATGGTTATGGTTTTGCTTCAGTGGCATCCAGTTCTGAGGTGCAAAATTTTGCACATGAATTTGAAGGTTCATGACAAAAAGAAGACCATGTAAATCATTTTGCTTCGAGAGCATTACACATTTCAAGAGGGAAATCTCTACCTATGGAGAAATGTAAAATATCTGCACTTACAGATTCAACTTTGGTTGTAGAAACTATGGTTTTCTTCTCCAGGGAACCTTTACGATATTGTCTGAACTTCATGCTGATCTCAGTCCAACGCATGTTGAGCAAAGTTAACACAGGCTGAATCTGATTATACTTGTATTTTTTCAAAAGAATGCCACTTTCATTGAGTTTATCCAATTCTGCCTTCTTATTCGTCATCTCATTTTCAAGTGCCTGTGAATACAGACGGCAGAAAAAAAAAAGAAAGAAAACAAGGAAAAATAAAATGTGGCTAAAATTCTGGAAGCACTAAATTTCTCTTTAAAATGAGCTTCAATACTGAGCTTCAACATTTCAAAAAATCATTCTCAAACATATTAAAGAATAAAAAGCTTTGAACTATATGTTCTATTTTTTATAACACAGGAAACAGAATGGAATAATGAATGATTCACTTAAAATTTCTCTAGAATCTTAACAACTAGGCCATGTGTGCTAGATGAAAGCTACAATAAAGTAAATTAAGCAAATATAAAGTAAAATCAAATGAAGCCCAATAATAATGATGTTTATAAAATAAATATTTAAAAAGATACATAACACTTAAGGATGGATTTATTAATGTTTGGTCACTAGAAAAAAAAATTAAAATCAAATGCAATATACTATTAACTACTGTCCTGAAGATGCCTCCACAAAAGATTCATGAAGGATTAGAAAAAAATGCTAGGAAAGGCATAGTGGCAGTTTGCACCAAAAATTATTATAGAGAGCTAAAATGAGAGTATAACACAAGAGTATCTATAATCAATGAAGAGATAAACAATCAAAAGGTTAATGAATGCAAAAACAATAGAGGTAGCAGAAGGAAAAGTTGCAATTTTGCAGTGAGGCTAATAATTACAACAAACCACAAAAAAAATTATATGAACATTTTTAGTCTTTGAGCTCAGTGCTTAGGTGTAAACACACAAACTCTAACACTGAGAAAGTGGTGGAGACAGACTCCATACACAATTTTAAGAGTAGGTATGATAGGGCCACTGAGGCTGCAAGGAAGTGAATCTGGAGAGCGGCAATTTACAAAGTGGGGCCAGCAACCACAAATAGGCATGTACACTTTGCCACCCATCTGCTAGATATACAAGAGGGTGACCACACATAGGAGCAAATGTTCAATGCTCATAAAATTAACAAAAGTGAATTATTTTTTCCACAATGTTGACAGAGCCAGTTGACTGAGGACACGTGTGAGCAGGCATTGCTGCTTCTACTTGCAGAGCAGCAAGTGTTAGCAATTTGGGCCTGAGTTTGAGACAGCCACAGCTGGTTGACTGTGAGACAGTTGGCTCACTGTAGTTTGAAGGAGTCTTGCTGCTCTTGACATGTTAACTGAGAATGCCTGGAAGTAAGAGCCAAAGCAAAATGAAACTGGACTGGCTAATTGGTAGTTCTGCACAAGCTGCAGATGTGTTCATTTCCCCGCACAGAAATGTAATTCCAGAGCTGTGTTACCCATTTAGTGCCATGCAAGGAAATGACCTCAACAGTTTGTAGGACAAGACAGTTACTGCAGAGGCTGACTTTCAACTGGTCTTTGACTGTAGCACCAATCAAAATAGTTTTAGTATTTTACTTTTATTACAATTTTCAATTGCACCTAGCCTTATGCAGGAAACAATCCTGTGTAGCTCTCAGGCACATTATGGGTTTATTTTAAGGATGCCAGATGAGTGTGGTACTTACACAACAAAGGAGATAAAAAAAAATGTGGCCAGCAGTGATGTTTTAATTTATATCTTCAATTCATTAATAGGGAATTGCTAAACCCAAGTGGGTCATATAGCACCTGGGTAATGAGAGGCCCTTAAGTTCAATCCAAGGAAGTGGAAGATATTTTCAATTCCTTGGATCGAGAGTTCTTCACCAGAATCAAAGTAACCCCCTTGAAGGATTAATGACAGAGGAAACATCACAGATGTTCCTTTAATTTATATTTTGTAATTATCTATTTGAAGCTACAGGAATTGCTATACTTACAGTGTTGCATCTTCAGTATTTAATCATATACTTTATTTTTGTTTCCTACTATAGTATTGTGTACAACCTCCTCTTGGATCCCATTCCATTGCTCTACCACTGTTTGTTTGTAAATGAGTAAACCTTTCTAGCATCCTTTTGGCACTCCTATTTCTTCATTTACAAGAAATGATGTATATTTTTCTCCCTCTTTGACAGTATTAAGAACTCTTTATTAATTTTCATCCTTTCATGACCATAAATATGGTTATTATAATTATCTTTTCTCCATGAGGAAGTGAAGAAGAATCTTTCCTACATAAACCATGTGTGTCTTATGAGAAGACTAAAATGTTGGAAGCAAGCAAGGAGCTAGTAACCCCTACTCCTGTATAAATTACTAAATGAAAAAAAGAATAGTTTTGTTTCTTCTTTTTCAGATCACCCCAACAGCTAATCAGGATATTTTAATGATTGCAGCAATGCTGTAGTTCATTTATTTCTCTATAGGAATCATTTTGTAACTAGTCTTTGTACATTTTTATCTTATCTGCATATGTTTTAAGTGAAGACACACCACACCACACCATTTCCCAATTCAATTTTGGCCTATCATACATTGTGAATTTTTTTTTCTTTTCTTTTTTTTTTTTACAATTTTGCCATCCTTATAAATAACAAAAAGGCACAATACCATGACTGGAACAATACACAAATAACCTGCACAAGGGGAAGGAGTAAATGACGGAGGGTTTTGGTCGGGACTGGACATTTACAAAGTCACAATAACAAAAGGAGATAAGGAGGGAGTATATATAGGCCGGGCGGACAGGGAGAGACGAGAGGGGAGGAGGAGGGGGGGAGGAGGGGGGAGGAGGAGGAGGAGGAGGAGGGGGAAAGGAGGGAGGAGGAGGAGGAGGAGGAGGAGGAGGGGAGGAGAGGGGGGGAGGAGAGGAGGAGGCGGGGAGGAGGAAGGAGAGGAGGAGGAGGAGGAGGGGGGAGGAGGAGGCGGAGGAGGAGGCGGAGGAGGAGGAGGAGAGGAGGAGGAGGAGGAGGAGGCGGAGGAGGAGGGGGAGGGGAGAGGAGGAGGAGGCGGAGGAGGAGAGGAGGAGGAGGCGGAGGAGGAGGGGAGGAGGCGGAGGAGGAGGCGGAGGGGAGGAGGAGGCGGCGGAGGGGCGAGGGGGGAGGAGGAGGAGGAGGAGGGAGGCGGCAGAGGAGGCGGCGGAGGAGGCGGCGGAGGCGGAGGCGGCGGAGGAGGCGGCGGAGGAGGCGGCAGCGGCAGTAGTAGTCAGTCAAAGACTATGAAAGAGGGGCACTGCAAGGGAGCTAGGGGCCCAAAAAGGGAGTTAATCTGATGTTTTTTTCCCCTTCTCCCTCTTCCCCTTTCCTCTTTCTCTTTGGGTTTTCTTTCTTCTGCCTTAGGTATTTGGTCCATTGCTATTAATCTTTCCCCTCTATGTTCTTGTTCCTACCCTTTGTGGGCCCCTAGCTCCCTTGCAGTGCTCCTCTTTCTTAGTCTTTGAATGACTCCACTACTACTACTACCTCTACTACTATTTTTTTTCCTTTCCTACTACCTCTCTTGTTCTGCCCCTGTCTGCTGGCCTATATATACTCCCTCCTCTCCTTTTCGTTAGTGTGACTTTGTAGATGGTCCAAGTCGGACCGAAACATCGTCGTAAGCTCCTCTCTCTTATGTGCGGGTTATTTGTGTATTGCCATCCCTATATCTGATGGCTATTTTAAAGTTTGCCAGTATAACGAAGCATACGGGTTTCTCAAGACTTCATTTGCAATTTTCATGTGACAATAATAATAATAGTGGAATACACTAATTATACAAGAATGGAAGAGAGGCAGTAGGAAACAGAGAAGATTGTTATAAAGAGAGGAGAAAAAGTGTTAAAACCATTAATATATATATAATCAGTTTGGAGATGGAGTTAGATGAAAATTTAGGATCATTTATTTTTAAGTGTAAAATATTTAACTGTTTAACTTACTTCTAGCTGGCTCTCATCATTGTTGACAAGATGAAGTCTCTTTGACACATCATTTGACCAACTGATAATTTCATCTGCCTTTTCAGAAATGGTACTTATCTCTTCAGCAACTTGTTCTGATTCCAACTTAACATTCTGTTTAGATTAAAAATAAACTGCAAGTTAAAATTGTAATCAGAAAGTGAACCCAACCAAATTTTCTTATAACAAGATGACAATAAATAAATAAATAAATGTCAGTAATACAATGTTATGTCTGCAATCCACACTGCCTATCTAGATGTTGCTAGAATTAATCTTTATTACCTGGAGTTTAGTCACAAAGCTAAAACAGTGAATATGACAAGGATTCTCTAAAAAACTTAATATGGCATTCAGCATAATTTGTTTTTTTCAACAAGTTGACCGTCTCCAACCAAGGCAGAGTGACCCCCCCAAAAAAGAAACACTTTCACCATCATTCAACACTTACATCATCATTCACACAATCACCATCTTTGCAGAGGCACTCAGATACGACAGTTTAGATGTCACTCCAAACAGCCAATATCCCAAACACCACCTTGAAGTACAGGCATTGTTCTTCCCACCTCTAAAACTCCAGTCTGGCTAACTGGTTTCCCGGAATCCCTTCACAAAATATTACCCTGCTCACACTCCAACAGCTTATCAGATCCCAAAAACCATTTGTCTCCATTTACTCCTATCTAACATGTTCACACATGCCTGCTGCAAGTCCAAGCCCCTTGCACACAAAACCTCTTTTACCCCCTCCCTCCATCCTATCCTAGGATGACCCCTACCCCTCCTCCTCTCTGCTACAGATTTATACAGCCTCCAAGTAATCCTGTTTTGCTCCATCCTCTCTAAATGACCAAAGCACTTCAACAACCCCTCTTCAGCCCTCTAAATAATACTTTTAGTAACTCCACACCTCCTAATTTCCACACTACGAATTCTCTGCATAGTATTCCCACCACATATTGCCCTTAGACACAGCATCATCACTGCCTCCAGCCTCCTCCTTGCTATAGCATTTACAACCTATGCTTCACACCCATATAAGAGTGTTGGTACCACTATACTCTCATACATTCCCTTCTTTTACAGAGTTACCCTGCATTAAATAAACCTAGTGGTCTTTGTGCCCAAATTCCACTGTTAGTATCACAAAATTGTAATTAATCTGGAATGAATAAGTCATCTTTGTGCCACTTGAACACCCTGTTTGCTGGCAGGGGAGTTGGTGATGGAACAACAGCCTCTGGTTCCTTTGTTTACTTTAGTTAGTGAGGCGTACTAGTACGTCGGACATACAGTCATACCCTGAGTAGTTCACCAAGATACATTATGTGAACCCTGCTGGCCTTAGATTTTTTCAAATGTATGAATAGATGGAAGACCCAAAGAGTTGTCCTGAGGTAAAAAATATTGGCAGGTGACAGATTTGTAGGTATGAACAATGGTGCATACTAGTTTGTAGGACACAGTGTGGGAGTACATTGGACACAGTTAAAACCCTTTCACAGTCCAGGCCCACTTGATTTGAAATTTGTCCACAGAGTCCAAGAATTCAAAAAAAAAAAATTTTTTTTCTTATGAAATGGTAGAGAATCTTTTTTCTGAAGGTAATAAAACAAAAAGCACGAAATTTGATGGAAAATTGACAAAATAACGCTATCATGAATTCTGCTATGTCATCAATATTTATGCATTGGTAGTTTTACCCACGCTGAGTTGTATTTTTGGCCAATTACATTATTCAAGATGACCAAATTCTGAGCTATTTCACTATTATGCCTTCCATTTTATCAACTGAGCACAAGAAACTGCCCAATCAACTACTGTATTTCAACTACCCAATAAAGTTATCAGAAATTTGTAATATGGCCAACTTCACACAAATTTCAAAATAGGGTCCAGAATAAACAATGTAGACATTTCTGGCATGAAAATAACATTTCCTCTGTTCATTAGTTACATTCCCAGTCTTGACTTATGAATTCCATTTTGAATTTTTATTCACAAAAAAAATAGATTTACTGTTATGCATTATTACAATAATTGTATAAATAATGTCAGTGCATTTATGAATGCACATTAGACTGACCAGTGGGCACATATTGGACAAGTTAAATGATTTGTTTACTCTGGAATATCGGCAAAAATTTAATATTTCTGCTACTTTAAGCTCAACTTTAAGCTATTTTCAGTCCTCAAACTAATCAAGATCATTTCTATTTCTGTAATACAGCCTCTCCTCACTTAGTGGCATACTCATTTACAGAAGACTCGGACTTGCAAAGGGCTCTCTGACCAATATGCATACCTAAATAATGTATATTAGAGCTGATTTCTTCTCTTCTGATTATTACAATATATAGTACATTACTGTATAAACATTTAAAAATATACCAGAAATGTTATAAATGGTGCAAAGGTGTCATTAAAACAATATCAAAGATGGTTGACACAAACCCACTACCATTGTATTATGCTCCTCACTTATTGACGAAATCGTTTACCGACATGGTCTTGGGAATTGAATTTCATTGTTAAGTGAGGAGAGGCTGTATATCTTCCAATCTATCAAATGAGACCAAGAAATCATGAATACAACCATAAAAACAAATGAAAATACACTGCAAAGTTGCCATTTTAAACCAAAAACACAGTCGCGGTTTTTTCTCTATGCACTGTATGCTGCAGGATTTTTTTTATATGGTGCACACATACCATCCAGATCCATTCTCTCATATCTATGCCCAAATTTACCACTCACAGCTTATCTGAGTGAGCTAAGCAAACTGCATAGTTCTGTGGCACTGATCCAGAGTTCAAAACTAGAACTACAGCACTGACCCTCAAGGGGTTAAAGGGTTAAAGTTTTCATAATTCAAACACAGAGAAATGCTTAGCCTTTTAACACTATTTACAAGGAATATGTACTTATATTACAACTGTTTCAGAGTGTAATCCTCCACAAAAGAGAAATAAGTCACACTGTTTGACTTTACTGGGTTATCCAAGGGTAAATATACTTAATGTGCTTTGTGGCTGAATTCAAGTAAGTAAATAAAATTTGGGAAAATATTATCCTGGATGAATATAGGTCATCTTTGTGCCACTTTTCCCTGTTTGTTGTAAGGGAAGCTAGTTTGGAACAACAGCTCTGATTTCGCAAATTAGCATACTACATAGTTATTTGGAACACAGTCATCCCTTTGCATCCTTAGATTTTTTCAAATTTGAAGAGTAATAAAACAACTGATTCGTGCCAGCCAAGACTTAATGTCTTTTTCTCTACCGTAGGACAAAACTAGCAATAAATCCCAAGCTCAAAATCAGTCCAAAGAGTACCTCACTGACAACTACCCTAATACTCTAAATTTTAGACCCAACAAACCTTTACTACTAATCTCGCTTATCAACAAAGCTCAAAGAAGACCAAGGGGACCTAAATAACTTACCCCAATCATGTATAAAAAAGCTTCTCAATGTTGTCACCAATTTTTGCAACTCTTTTAAAAACCATTGACTGTTTTCAGGTCTCTTGAAACTGTCTTTCTATGTCGGCAAATTTCGAAAAAAAAATTTATTTTTCCTCTTTGAAAATGTTAGGAATATTTTTGTGATTTGTTTTTAAGCCTAAAAAAAATTTTTGCCACCAGTACTTACTGAATATTGAGCCGCAAGTTTGCAGAATTTGACGTATTTCTTCGGCAACTATGGCCGTGCACTGCGGCTCCACGGTATTCTTTTACTCTAATTCAAAGGTTTCTGCATTTTTCAATATTTTTCTGTTCCAGGTACACTTAATTGGCTGGAGACCAAACTAAGGTGCATTGTTCAAATATACATCATTGTTTACAACACAATTCATAGAACAAACTTATCACAATATTTAGTGTATACACTTTGTTACAACAACAAACAATCACAAACATTACTACTATTGTTCCATAATATTATCATATGTACATACTAAACACTTCCTAGAACTGCTGCATCTTTTTGGAACTCTTGAAACATGGTATATGCAGAGGGCACTTCACACTCCTCACACATAAAACGAGTGTCTCTGCATGATTGTGGGTTTGAGGTATGCAACATTCATAACACCTTTCTTGACTGCATTTTTCTTGGCCATAGTTAGGTGAGTTGTATGGGTAGTGATCACCAGGCCTGAAACGAGATACGTATGTGAAGCGCTGTTATTCAATGTCAAGTTGCAACCCATTGATGTATCATTGGCAATTATTTGTTGATTACGACGGGCAAAATTCACCTTTTATGGGTTTGTTGGTCTTCAATTGTATATGTATAACATTTAGCATAGAGATATCAACAAGATGGAAAAAAAAGTTATATACCATTATAACTCTTGCGACACAGTCTGCAACCCATCTGCATGTCACATTTGTCCATAAGCGCATATTGAGTTGTAGTCCATGACAGCTGCAGGCCTTTAGAACATGGAGGTTTCATTGGTCTTTTTTTTTTCCCTTCCCACTGGGTAAACCATTTTCCCGTTTGCGAATGAATGTTCAACATTGTGACATCACTTTCATGCCCCCCGAAATGCCTGAGTCATTGCCGAAAGGCTGCAACCTCCGCCTGCGCGCTGCCACTCGAACCTTGGCATTTTACGATACACACGCACTGTGCACAACAACATTGTTCATTCACACTCGCAGAATCACTGGAGTAAGGGCTTGTGTACCATTATCAGTAAATAACACTTGCCCCTTACCAAGCATGGCTTCCATCATTTTAGACAATCACATAACAGAGTACCCTATAACTTCATGGTATCTCTCAAAGTATTAACTGCCATGATACCAATGATTATCGACTAATAGACCATTCTGCATTACACACATGTACAAATAGCTTTATACCAAAGCGTTTCCTATGCGTTTCCTATTGCTTGATGTATGAGTCTTCCTTTGAATAATATCAAGGACTCATCAATAACAAGCTTCCTGAAGGGATAAAAATACATGCAGCACTTTTGTTTCAGGTACATAAACACATTTCTGATCTTATATAACCTGTCGCTTCTGTCAGGCCTGGTTTTGTCTGAAAAGTGTAACATACGTAACAGTATCAGGAAACGATTGACACCTATAATG